CCTGGCACAGTTCTCATTTTGCTGTATTTCTTTTTCTGTGCAGAGCAAAATAAGAACTGTGAGTGTGGGCAGGAATGGGTTACTAACTAATTATCTGCAGAGGGTTACCATAAGGTGGAAGTGCTCCATGTCCCTCTCTGAAACAGAAGGGCTAAGATGACCATACTCATGCAATAGGGGAGAACTGAGCTGTTCCATGGAGCAGCAGTTAAGGAGTTCTGATTCAGCAAAGTACTTGCTGAACTTTCAGCCTCTTTAGCCTGAGGACAAGTTCAGAAAAGGGTAGCCTTTTTAATTTAATTAAAAAATTAAACCACTTCTCCTCCTTCAGAGTCCTGAAGATCTAATAGTACATGGGGGACTTTCACGTCAAGTAACTGACGGAATTAAGGAGCTAAAAGCAAAGTGCAAGCCAGAACAGATCACATCCCACGTTACTCTGCACAGTATCCTAACTCCTCAATATTTACATGAAACCAATTTAGATTTTTCCAGACATTAGTAAAGCAGTGTAAATAACACAAATGGCTTTGAGACTCTAAGTGGATCACACTTCTGTGTGCCTCTCTGAAGTGGAAATTGCTAGAGTTTAAGTTAGTTTATACATAAGCAGCAAAAGCAATGAAAGAAAATCTGAGCTACTCAGATGCTTCCTTTTCCCTTTGCTAAGAACAAACTAAACACAAAGGCACTTTTACACAATGCTAAGAAAGCCATTCTTATCACTCACACAAGGAGGGTTCCCAGTCCACGCTTGCTTCTGTGCCCTGCCATTTCTCCTTTGAGCTCAGTGCTGTTGTGAAGTGGTCCTCTGCTGGTACCACTCCTGAGTGTGAAGCCCTGTCCTAGGGACTGCATGGGGTAGGTTACATTCTGGGCTATTGCAGGAAGGGCACGTGCCTTCTGGTGTGTATTGCCAGGTGCTGGATGTGCTGGCAGCCCCTTATAAACCACACTGGAGCTCATCTTGCACTTCAATGGAGGAAACTACTTACAGCAGGGTTTTTTTACACACGGCAGAGGGAGCAGAAAGAATGGTCCTTTTCTTAACTTAAGCATTGTCTAATGTAGAAGATAGGAATGAGATAAAACCTTGCATCCTATCCCGGGTGTTCTACATGTGTTTCCTGTCACTTGCTAGGTGACAAGCTGGTAAACAGTGATGCTCTCCTCTCACAGACAATTGATTTTGATTTTGCTTTTCCTTTTGGTTTCTCAATGTCCCTGCTCAGGCAAGACTGCCTGAGCTCAACAGTAACAGCTGCTGGAAGACACTTTGACTCCACAGATGCTTTTTTCAGGTTCTCAGATGTTTCTTGCTTCTACTGAGCAGTCTTTTGGCCAAAATCTCTGTCTCAGATGTGCTGATTCCAGCTGATTCCTCAGCCCACTATTTTGCTTCACTAGACAAGGTTGCCCTACATAAACTACCACTATCAGGCAGATTGTGGCAGATTGTGAATCCACAAGGTGCTTCTCAAAGAAGCCTTTCTATTAGGAACTTCAGAAAGTGCCACCAATGTAATTTACAAAAAGGTTAATTTATTATTGAGAGACCTTGACTGTCCTTTCCTTTATAATGTAATGAATTGTAATTTGGAAGAATGGGATATAAAAATGCTGTTAAAAGCTGAAAACTTTTCCAGAATAATATTTTTCCCTCCACGTGTTTCCTGTATTATTCAGAAGTATAAGCTCTGACAGGCATTACAAGGCTGTATTTTCCCCAGGTTTACATTCAGTGCATGTAACAGGCACACATTTTGACAACACCTAGCCCTTCAGTGATGATGATTCCACACCCATTTAGAAAACAGGCCAAGTTGCCATCTCCCGCCCTCAAAATCTATGCTAATGTTCCTGAGTGGATTTAGTTATAGCTTTATCACATTGCAAAGCTTTATAATGGACAGCCTCACAATTTATGAAATTAACTGCATGTTATCAAACTGGGAATACAGATGCCTTTTTCCATTTTTCTCCAGTTTTCACTAGAATAATGGAAGCCAAATCATTCCAGGCAAGTGCTGCACAGTAATTGCAGTTGATACTGTCATACAGAGCCTGCAATGATTTGCTGGCTCTGAACTGCTCAGTCTGTTGAAACATAGCAGATAAGACTTGGAAAATCAGCAGTCTTTCCATCCAACATGTTTATTGCTGAAGTAAAAACTATTGCCATTTATTTTGGTGAGTCCTCACTCGCAGGGGATGTTTGCCTGAAGCAACGACTGCACAGTTTGGCTTTAGGAACTTATCATTATGATCACCATTATCAATTTTGTGCTTTCTACTACTATCTGTGATTATTAATTAATGCTTCCTTCATTTTCCCAGCAGTTCTATCACCCTCACAGTATCTCCAGAGAAATGTCACTCTCAGTTTTACATGGTGAGCAGCTGAAGCATGAGCCTAGGCTGGGGCAGGATTAACACATCAATCAGAATTCAGAAGTTCTAGGCTGCTGGTCTGCTTCTCAGATCACTGGATCCTACTTCTTACTGAATCAGAGCTATACTTTTCAAACTTGCTCTTACTGTAAGCCCTATGTTAGCAGAATAATAAAGGGAGATTTTTTTAGGTGGTTTTGCCACAGGAATCAAATGAAATGGCAGCCTGCCTCTGACAGTCAACACAACTTCTTTGAAGGTTCCTCACCCTGCACAGACAGATCTAAGGCTGCCATCATGTGTGATTTGATTTATTTGTTTGGTGTTGCAACTTTACACACTGGTTCATAAGCACTGTCAGGTTGCTTTACCCTCTTTACTTGGGCAGTGAAAAAAACCAGTAACACTACAGTACCACAGTATTTATGTGCTTACAATCTAGCAACCATGTCTTGCCAGACTTCATGAATACACTGGAAAGGTTCTGAAGCATTAAAGTTACACAAAACACCTGACTGTTTTTTGTTTGTTTTTTTTTTTTTTTTTTTTTAAACAAGGTGTTGAAAACTAGGTGGAGGAGAAAGGTACCACCTTGTTAAGGCTATTACAGTGACTTTTATGGTACTTATACAAATGCTGCACTTTTCGGGACAAATTCTTGCCAAGAAGCCACATTTTCCTATCTAAAAATTTTACTTAAGTCTGTTTCAAAATTCATGGCTTGTACTTAAACAGGTTTTTTACACTACAGCTTTGTGTTGATATACAGCTGCCAGTGGATAAAGTGATTCTCACCTGTGTAGCAAAAGAAAACTTCCTTGTTTCTGAATCACAGAAACACTGAATGATTCAAGGTCAGCAGGGGATATATCGAATATATCATGGGCTCTGTATCGTGGACTGCTCTGTTTATCATGCAGTCATGAAGGTACAGCAGAGCAAAACAAAACAAAAAAAAAAGATTGCCTTGAAGACAATCTGACATGCTTCTCACTCACACCATTCCTTCGATGCTCAAAGGCAAATTAAGAATGCTTCTATTTTTTTTTCTTCTTGTTTTTCCCTATATTAGTGCAATGAGGCCAAGAGGAAAGTCTGGCTAGAACACTTAAGCATCACTTTGAAAACAAGAACAACAATGACAGTGCTTTAAACATGTTTGAAGAGCCTCACTGATTTCTGTGAGAGCCTCACTGTAAGAGCCTCACTGATTTCTCTCCTGTAATGGGAAGTTTTGAACTGAAGACATTCTTTGACAAGGAGAAAAAGCTGCCTTCAGAAGAATATCTTAAACTTCTGTGGTTGTTGTAAGTAAAAAATCAAATTACTAAAGTAAACTAAATTGAAGTAAATCTGCATTCTATAAAGTAAGACTTCAATTTCATAAGCTAACATACTTCTAGAAGTAACTACCACTAATGTTGCTCAGCTGCAAACAAGACAGAACATCACATTTCCAGGTTTTAAATTTAAAACATAGTATTACAGCAGTTTCCATTTCTGCATTAGATAAACTTTAGTGCTAAAATAGAATATTGGGATGTTAATGACTTTGCTTTAGCAAGACCTAAACTTTTTAATTAACCTGCCAAGACAAATTACAACCCATAGCTCTTAGGTAACTATTGCAGACAGCTGAGACTCAACACCAGTGCCGCTGTTGGGAGAGGGATTAATGGCAGCTTTGGAATGAGTCTGCTTTTTTCTGCAAAGAAAAAAAGTCCATTAAACACTGCGCTCAGAAGAAAGCTGAGTGCTAGTTTTATGGACTAATCTTTAAATTACAACCAAATGAATTTCAGTACATGAACAGTTTAAGCAGGTCAAACAAATTTAAAATTAAATATTACTGAATCGGAAACAGATTTAGGTATTTACAGAGTGGAAGACGAATACTCAGTGTGCTGTCAGGCACCCACTGGCAGCATCTTTTCCTCCTTGGACAGCAACAAATCCACGCCTGTGAGCTGAACTGACAGGGCATTTTACTGCCAGAGAAGTCAGAAGACTTATTTAGTCAATTTGTTCTTCTTAAGCCATCTCAGTTTCTTTCTGTTAGCAAGGGGAAACAGGGATTCCTGTTATTACTGTGGTTGCTACAACCAAGGCTTACAGTGCCCTTTATTGGAGTTTTAACCCCAGTACTCTGCCTGAACTCCAGCTTGAGTGACTTTGATGGTGTTCAATGGCAGAACTGTCTGTCACACAGAACTGCAGAATGGTGCTACTGTCTGTTTTTCAATCATTCCTACATCTCTGCTCCAGAAAGAGAAAAACGCCTATCAAACAAACAAAAAATCAAACAAAATCAACAAAAGCCAACTAAATAGAAGGAAAATCAAAGTAAGAAAATAAAGCAAGGATTTTCCAGCTTGTAATCCATGTTTGGCACTGTGCAGAATCTCGTTATGGTTATAGTCACTTAAAAGACCTACAAAATACTTACTCAACATTTAGGGTGTAGCAGTATACAGCATATTGCTAAATACAATTCCCCCCAAGCATTTTCTCCAAAACCACACAAAGCCATCCTGCAATTTGAGTACGTGCGTTAATACCTGGCCCCAAGGCATACTTAGGAGTTTAGGAATAATAGAGGAAATCCTTACCAATAGCAGTAGTAAGAAAAGAAACCACTTCCGATTCCTTGCCATCATTGTAGAAGGCTAGATGCCATATTCCTGAATCTAAATACTGGATAAATCCTGTCTCGTGGCTGGCCAAGGGCACAAAGGCTCTGTGCTGCCGCTGAGGTCCTTCCAAGCTTCTCGCCTCCTGGGTCAGTAGACGCCTTCCATCAAGGAGCTCGACAAAGTCAAACTGTAACAGAAGAGGAAGTGATGTTTGTGTGTTTATCAGGCATCCTCAAGCTTAGTCTCTTATTCTGGGTCTGCAGAAGCATTATAAACAGGATTTGCTCTGGTAACTAAAGTAGCTTCCTGGACAACCTGCAAGTAACCATTTTGGAAATAGTACATGAATGTATCTTCCTGTAATTGTATGAATTTGAAATCATCTTTGTTTAGAAGGTGACTTGCAGCATATTGGCCTTACTGAGGTGTTCTCATTGTGTAGAAATATAGGCAGGAAATCATGAGACCATGCCTCAACTGCACTGTAAATATGACATTAAGCAGCTTATTTGTTATCTTTTTTATGTCTTGGCTAATATGGAAAATAAGACACAAAAATATATCTAGCCCAACTGGGTTGTTTGCTGGAGTTGCTAGGGGTCACCAAGGAAAAGTAAAAAATATTTTAAAGTGAACTCTAGTAGAGGTTTTGCAGAAGTATTTTGCTTAGCCAACAAGGATTTTTATCTTAAAACAACAGGAAAAGTGGTTAAAAGATCATCAAAAATGAAGATGGAAAAGAGATAAAGAGATAAATAATATATAAAAGTCTCATTTAAGGAGTGGCTCTAGCTATTTTCTTAAAGGATGCATTTACTTTTTGCAAGGGTAACTTTAACTGAACAACTGCTTTGCTTTATTTCGTATTGCAACTCCCTTTAGTTCCCTATTTAAATAACCTTCTACTGATTTTCCACAATAATTGTGTTTTGTCTGGTATTATATTAATGGGATAAGACAGATATAAGCCTAGCAAACATCAAAAACGTTAAATGAACCTTATCTAATCTGACTTGTATCATGTGTTTAGATGACCAGGACCCCTTGCAAGCAGAATCCAACAGTTGAGGCACTATTCAGCTTTTCTATTCCCTGACTTAATTTGGTTTTGCCTCTCTCATCCAGCTGATCAGGTAAGTTTGTGATTTTTTTTTTTTTTTGGCAGGAAGAAGAAAATCAGGCAGAGAGAAACAATACCACTTATTTCTGAACCCATAAATGTTGCTACACTGAATGGTTGCTGAGTGTTAGCTGACTGTGGCATCAATATTTAGGCTGCTTATCCCTTTTCACTTTACTGTAGCAAAATTTGGGTGCTTGTTATTAAATTGTCTGGTATGGTCTTCAAAGTCAACCAAGATAAGGACTTGATGACATGTTCTTTCCTATGTAGGAAATGTTAAAAAAAGTTAAGTTACTAAGTTAAAAAAAGAGGTGTTTATTTCCAAGAACATTTTGAGCAATAAGCTATATATGACATAGCTCGCATATAAAATTACAGAATTCATCCCTACATTATTTTAGTTATCTATTTACAGGAAATTATTTTTGATCCTTGCTTTAATTTTTTTTTTTTTGTTGTATTTCAGTTTACAGTTCACAAATTTAGTGCTGAAATGTCTTTTTGAGAATGTAAAAGCTGCCACACTGCAGAGGTCATTCCTTTTGGGTGCCTATCCAAGTTAGCTTTGCTAGAGACAGAGCTTCAGTTTTGGAAAAAATATTACATAAATTATAAAAATATACAATCTAAAATCTAAAAATACAAGGCAAGTATAAATTCTAAACACATGTAATTAAAAATGTACATTTCTGTTTCAACCATGCCCTGGGGGGTATCAGGCACAGCACTGCCAGCCGGGCAAGGGAGGGGATTGTCCCACTCTGCACTGGGGCAGCCTCACCTCGAGTCCTGGGGGCAGTTTTTGGTGCCACAATATAAGAAAAACATTGAGCTCTTAGAGAGTGTCCAAAGGAGGACCAGGAGGATGGTGAAGCTCTAGAGGGGAAGCTGCTTGAGGACTTGCTGAGGTCATTGGTCTGTTCAGCCTGGAGAACAGGAGACTGAGGGGAGACCCCATCTCCCTCATCAGTCTGCAGCTGCCTCATTGAGGGAAGTGCAGCGGCAGACACTGTTCTCTTGCTTCTCTGTGGTGACCAGTGACAGGACTTGAGAAAACAGCCTGAAGCTGAGTCGCGAGAGGTTTAGGTTGGATATCAGGAAAAGGTTTTTCACTCATGGTGTGACTGAACACTGGAAGAGGCTCCTCAGGGAAGCTGTCACAGAAGTGTTTGGACAATGTTCTCAGGCACATGGTGGGATTCTTGGGGTTTCCTGTGCAAGGCCAGGAGTTGGACTCGATGATCCTCATAGGTCACTTCCTACTCAGCATATTCTATGATTCTATGAAAACAGAAGGATTTAAGAGGATACTGGTGAGTGGCTGGTTTGAAAGACACTTTGGGACCCAGGTCTCTGTAGCCACTCTGATCATAAACTACTGCCTACACTGATGCCTCATCTCAGTGAGGTCTCAGTGTGACCATGCCTGACACAGCTGAGCAGGACAGTGACAGAGGACATCATTGTGGTGTCTGAGTGCTGGGAATGTCTCAAGCGAATCTGAGTAAGGAACAGGTGAACTGAAGAAAGTAAAACCAGTTAAGAGAAAACCCAAAATAGTTCCATACTAATTTGGGAGCATGATGGAACAGCTTGACTCAACTTTTAAAAATAGAACTTAAGAAACCACAGGCAAAGTTCACTTCACCAAGTGCTGCCATCTCCATGGCAGCTTGAATTAGTTTTCTAGAATCACTGAATTGCAAGCAAAGAGGCACTTCTAGGATGCAACCTGCCTCATTGTAAAGCGGACATCTAAGAAATATCCTGTGGATTGTGTTAGAAGCATCCACTTCCTGCCAGATATTAGATGTAGTTACTTAGAGCTTAGTGAGATGAAAACAATTTCAAGGCACTCAGGTACAGTGAGCTGCTGTTCTACTTCAGTCTGGGTTACGCTTACTTGGGGCTTTCTGTCAAAAACAAAAGGTTTTTTAAATAAGTATTTGCAAGATGCTGCAGATGTTGATGACTTTGGCCAAGCTACTAGTTACTAGTCGTAAATATTAACTGAGCCACAAATGGATTGGGCTTTATTGCATTTTAATACATTCAAAGATTTTTAATAGGCAATTAGTTACTGCCAGCAAGAAAATAATTGATAAAATACCACGTTAATCAATTCAAATGGAAAAAAGCCCTCTGCAAGCAGTAATGACCTATCCCTAAAATTTATGATTTATTAAAATTTGGCCTAGATTAAAATGAGTTTAAAAAAGGATTTGATCTAGGAAGATTAAATCTAATAGACCATAACAAAATTGTGTAACTTGTTACGATTTGTTGAGAAGAATAAGAAGAAATGCCTTTTGTTAATAGTAAACTATTATGGGCTTCTGCATGATCTATTCCTAAGACTATAGAAATTTGGAACTTACATTTTCTTCCTACTTACTAGTGACCACAGTTGTTGGCAACCTAAAATAGAAAATAATCACTGCAGCCAGAGAATGTTTCCCAAAGATAATTTGGAATAGTTTGTTATTTAAGCATGGATAGCTATGACTTTGAGCATTGTATTGGGTTTCATGGCCAGGTTTTGGTAGCAGGGGGGGCTGCAGGGGTGGCTGCTTTGAGAAGGTGCTGGAAACTTTCCGTGTGTCTGACAGAGCCAATGCCAGCCGGCTCCAAGACAGACCTGCCACTGGCCAAGGCTGAGCCCCTCAGTGATGTTAGCAATTGTCACCTCCTTGATAACATATTTAAGAAGGCAAAAAAATTATTGCACAGAAGTAACTGCAGCTAAAGAAGAGGGGAGTGAGAATACGTGAGTGGACCAATTACACAGACCCCAAGGTTAGAAGGAGAAGCAGGAGGTGCTCCAGGTTCTGGAGCTGAGACTCCCCAGCAGCCTGTGGTGCAGACCATGGTGAGGCAGCTGTGCCCCTGCAGCCTGTGGAGCTCCACAGGGAAGCAGAGATCCCCCTGTAAGCAGCCTGGCAATCAGACCCATGAAGGAGCAAGAAGATGCCGGAAGGAAGGCTGTGACCCTCCAAGCCTATGCTGGAGCAGGCTCCTGGCAGGACCTCTGGCCTCACGAACAGTGGAGCCCACACTTGAGCACATCTGTTTGTAGGACTTAAGACCTCTTGGGAAACCAATGACTGCACTTTGTGGAAAAAGTGAGGTTTATATGTTAAATTTTAGGTTTTTTACTTAAACAATCAAACTTATCCATGTAATAACTTCTGTTTTATAACAAAATTTAAGAATGATAATAAACAACATGAATGCAGAGTTCTCATCTAAAGTTAGTATTATGCAATTACGACTTGAGTTTTTCTTTGACTAACACAGGATTTTTAAGTTATAATCTCCCTGTGAAAAGAGACTGATTACAAAAAGGGCAGTAACAGTGTTACTGTGGCACTGAAATTACGAAGTGCTGATCCTACTGAAATATTTTAATTTTGCAGAAAAGTAGGCAGAGAAGCATAGATTTATGACACCTCTTTGACAGAAAGAAGTGGGAGGTGTGTTAATATGTACAAAATACTATATTATCCACAGAGATCATAATAAACATATTTGTTCAAAAACGAAAAAAAGGCAGGGTATTTCTATAAATCTCTAGTATTTTCAGCTAATAGTAGAGGGCAAGAGCAAGATACACTACCATAAACCTGCTAATTCTTCGATAACCTGCTGATGCAAGTGGGAGTAAGATACTTTGCTCTGCCAGTGTATTATGCCCTAATGTATTAATCAATCTGGGTAAGAGCAGCTTAGAAGCTGAGACAGACAGGAGAGAAAAAAATGTATGAATTCCTTACTTAAGGGGATGGTTCATCAGAGCTTTTCTCATAAAGTGATCTTTTAGATTTTTTTTTTTTTTGTCAAGGTTTGTTAAAAAAAGCATCTGCTTTCAATTTCGTCCTACAGAATAATAAGTGGATCTTGATTTCTGCCTAAGTTAGTGGCTTTCTGTAAAAAATATTTTTGCTTTTCTTATACATTAATTACTTGGCCCTGACAAACCTCAGTCTAAGCAGTCAGCAAACATCATGTGAAGGGTTGGCTCAAGGCATTCTGACATGGAAGACAGAAGTGAACTTGCTCCCATAAGGGTGACCAGCTGGGATCTTGCTGCCCTTACCATGAAACAGGAAAGGCTGAAAGAGATACAAACCTGACATATATGAATCTGCTTAAGAGAAGATTCCTTTGGATGCAGTTTGAATGTGGCTGCTTTTGTGCAAAGCACTGGATGGAGAAAGTGGTATCTTCTGCTGTTTGGAGCAACCAGCTGGTACCCCCAGTGACCACCAGCCTCCCAAAACCCTTCTCCTCTGGCAGCCTGCTGCCTCAGTCAACTGCCTACAGCCTACCAGATTAATTTGTGTCATTTTTTTCCACTATCTCTTGATTCTCACTCTCTGGATAAATGATCTTGGGAATCTTGCAGGCATGCAACAAACTCTTGAAAGAAACAGGTGAAATAACACATCATACAAACATCAATTTGAGACAACATAATTTAATAAGTGAAACATAATTTAATTAAGGAAATAAGGTCCCATTACCTGTGTGTGTGATGGTGGGAGTCCTTTTCTGCCATAGATGCCAACGAGAGCTGCCTTTCCTAAAGACACATTGAATTTCAGATGCACTGGGTGGTCGATGAACACCTGAGATCTCCAAAAGATACCAGGAGGGATCTTCTGTGTGGCTCGTCTGCCTACATCAATTTCTCCGGAGTCTATAAAACTGTCGTCTGGAAAGAAACTACTGGGCTTTCCTGCCAAAACACAGGAACAAAATTCTTGAGTTAGTCTTTAGATCCTGAAAGTAATCTAATCATACTGGTATCTCTGACACTGATCTTGAGCAACAGCCTATTAGTGTCCTGAAGTCTTCAGGGTACTTTGTCTAGCCAATCCATACGATTATGGGAAGAAAACTGGCAGGATTATTTCTGGTTTCAGTAACTGTTTTGTTTGAAAACATGAGCATGGGAACAGCAACCTGGAGAAAAATAGCCTTTTGTTTAAACTGTAACATCAGTGAGTGTGTAATTACATTCCAAAGACAAGAATAAATCATTTGACATTATATCCTACATTAATATAAGTTTAGGAATGGAGAAGTCATCATTAAATTAGTAAAGAGAAGTGTAGCAAGAATGAGACGTGTCACAGAGTGGAATGGCAGGATGGAGAACAGCAGCATGAACGATGCCTAAGTGGGGAAAGGAAAATGTTTCTCTATTAAATTAATTATTGACAGTGGTAACAGTATTTGAAATAGTAAAAAAGAAGCTAGTGAAAAAAAAGAACTGAGATAAAAAAAGGAGACCATACCCTGCACTTGAGTAATATCTATTAAGAACCATGAGAGCATTTAATTTGGTTTCAATATAATCTGTAAAGTATGCTATTATTATCCATTCTCTTTCAGAAGACAAATGGAGGTATCTGTTTCTAAAACTATCAGGCTGGAGAGCCTGGGTATTCAAATGGGATCAGGACATGCCACAATGTCCAAGGGAGTCAGCAGGGAGCTTGGCAGCCCTAAAAACACACCTGAGGAATTCCAGGCTGGAAATTTATGCAGTCATAGCTCCCAAAGCAGATGGCTGCTTCAAAAAATCTGGACCCAAAGGAAGACCAGGGATTGAGGGGCAGAATGAAAAATCAAGGGCCAAAATGTCCCTTTTTCAGCCTGTGCTATAACCAGTGGGCACAGCTTTGGGTGCAGGGCACAGGGATGATGAAGAAGGCAACTGCTCAGCAAACAGCCTTTATTAAGGACACTCCTAATGGAAAAGCATGCAGTACTGTCACTTGAAAGATTCTGGCTTAAGCAAGGAGAGCAACATGTCACCAACAAGGACTAATTATTAATTTAGGAAATGCAAATAAATTTGTTTCTTATCTCAGTGCCATTACAGCGCACACTACTCTGTGTTTCACAGAGCAAACAATTCTAACAACATAAGAAGGAAACTTCTACCTACATACATTCTTTTGTAGGAAAATCACATGATAAATTTTTTTTTCTTCCAGTACCTACATTTGAGGATGGGGGACAAAAATCCTTTCCCATCTATCATGAATTTATATCAAATATTCTCAGAATTTACTTGCCATGTTGAAAATGTGACCGGTAGAACATTGCATTTTATTATTTCAAATGACATTTCCTTTAAGATTACATAAAGTTAAATACAGTATTGCCTTAAATTTCTCCACATACCATCCCTACACAAACTCTCCAGAAACAGATGTAAATTGTTAGCTGTCTCTGAAAGTCAATATACAAATTATATGCATATTAACTATTAAGGATGGAGAATTTTTTTCCTTGCAGAACTTTTGGCTCCAGTAACACTAAACCCTGATTTGAAGTCAGCAACTGCTTAAGGACACTGCTGGAGCAGGACCTGATGGCATGAGCTATCTTGAGGCAGAAGTCTTATGCATACCAGCACAAAAGATATATATGCAAAGGCTGCATGTTCACACAAAAAAAGCTACTCCTAATTTTATAAGATCTCCATTTATCTTTGCTCATCACTCTCAAATAAATATAGGTAGGAAATCTGCTGACTTTTTATCCTTTTTCAGTCCATGTACATATTAAAGGAGATAATAGGAAACAGCTTAGGTAAATGGGCATTCTTTCTGAATCCTTCTGTGCTAATAGAGTATAATTGTACAAGGAAAATCAATCAGCTACATTCTGAAGGGAATGACTTTATCAAATGGATTGACAGTATTTATTTGGCATAGTGAAATTTTCTTTTCACACTCTCAGGATTATGGGAAACAGTTCCAATGACTTCATGCAAAGTTTCTTATTGCACTATTGTAAGATTAAAAAATTGAGGATTCTATTAAAGAAGAGCTAAAGACATCACATGTTTTGGCTAAAATGAAGGATATATTTTTTCTGATTACCACTGACATGTTTTACAGATTCTCAGATATTCAGATGAAAACCTTAAGTATTTGATATGCCCCATGACTGTTCATTAATAAAGACTGTACATCAGAGTGAATCAGGGAAAGTGAGAATTTAATATGACAGATGTTGCTATGCAAGATAGAGCCTGGAGAAAATGAGCACAGGGTGTATTCTGTAGATAGATCAGCACTTGTTCATGCAAACGAAAATGCTTCTGTGATTGCAAAAGACAGTCTCACAGAAATAATTTTTTGTACACACAATTACAAAGTTTATGTCTCCTCTGGGTGGGCAATTGTAAGTCTGAGAAGCAGATATCCTAAGAGCTGTTATGTCATGTTGCCAGAGGTTGAAGCTTGTCCTGATACAGAAGTCCAAGGAGAAGCTCTCTTTTGAATTCAGTCCCTGAAATCCCTCTCTGTTTCACCAGTTGCAGGCTACAATAAAATCAGGCCCTATGGACTGGATACTTCACAAAGAAAGTACAATAAAAAGTCATTTCAGCTTCTAATCAGAAATTGACTTTTAATCAGAATGCTTGACTCCTTAAAATTAACTTCAGGTCTGAATTCTTAATTGGGCTGTCAATTACTGTGCTCTTTCTGCACATTACCTTGAACTTTTCAGTTACCGTAGCAACTGTTCCTGATTTCTTTATATCAAAATGCACAATTTCATTTCAGACCTTGCTGAATCTCTCTGTATTTCTCACAGGATGGTTCCCTGACCCATCAAAACACTTAAAAACACACACAGCTCTGACTTCAACCACAGTCAATTACATGCTTAAATGTAAGGATGTGATTAAGTGCTTTGGTAAACAGGGTTGGGCTTGAACAGAGGTAAATGCTGTTCTGGAGCACAGCCACAGACGAGAAGGAACGACTATAACTGAAAGTTGGCAAGACACTGGTAATGATTCATTCAGATCAGCTCTAAGGATGTTCCTAACACATTCTAGCTTATTTCATTCTGATCCAGAAGACATTCAAATATATTTCAATTACTTTTAAAATAAATTTCAATCACATACATTCTGGTTTAGAGCAGAAGCCCTGCAGCACTGCTAGTCCGGAATCAGTTACACAGTTACCTTATGGGGAGAGAGCTGCATTTGAAGGCTGGACAGTATTACTCCTGCACCAAAGATGTGCTGATGTGTTTTTTAGTCAGGACATGGTATTTTCCTCTAAAGCCTACAGATTCCCTAAGATCTATACAAAGCACTAACTTGAGGGGTCCTCTCGTGGCATAACTAGGTTAGTTCCCAGATTTCTCTTTTAACAGAGCAGCAATCAAAACTTTTACTCGTGTCACTGTAAACATGGCTAAAATAAAATCAAGTGGAGGTCTTTCACTTGGATGGCAGTTTTGAATGCCTACATTTATTCTGACTTTTAAAAGGAAATGGGCAGATCAAAGCTAGATGATTCAAAAATTAACCATATGGCAAGTTAGAGGGGAAAAGAAAAGGATCTGTCATGAAGTATTTTTGAGTACAACAGCAGGGCTGTCTGCAGCTTGCTGTACTGTCTTGTAAGGTTTGCTGAGAATAAGCTGCTTAGCTGTTTTTTCCTTGTAGCAACTTGATGGCAGCCATCAGTTACCAGTAAATGCACTGTTTTAAGGAACACACATAATTATGGCCTTTATTTGGACTAATAAAGACAGAAAAACTCTTACAGGAAAAATCCGCTACAATTAATTTAAATTAAACATGTAAACACAGGCTGTCAGCCAAAGCCTAGGGAACTCTGTGGAAACTTTTGAGTTTAGTGAGTTGCAATAACAGTAGCATATATCTTATCTGTCCAAAAAACTTACACAAAAATAACTATCAAAAATAGTCTATTACTTTACTGGTATCTCATAATTGTATATAGCAAAGCTTTACACACAAACAAAAAAAGCTTTTTGAAAGTTTGCATTTCTCATTTCTCCATCTATGTCTGGGGAGGGATAAGACTTTGCAGAGCTTACAAGTACTTTTAGCAGTGGTGCCTCTAAAAAAAGAACACAGTGATGTAAAGCTGCTGAATAAGGTGCTGCTGAATTGGGGACCCATAAGCTGCTTCTGATTTCTGTCAACACCATGATACTTTATGGACACTAGGCCTTTTATCTGGCTACTTTTACAAAGCTATATTCCACTCTGGAGTGCCAAAATTTCTAGTGTAACAGCTTTCAGTAAGTATTTTGGTCCTCAAAACATTTGCTAAGTGGCAATAGTCAAACTCAAACATTTTTGTAGTTCTGTAGAGGAAGCTTGATCCAGTGCTCCAGGAATCATTTAATTTTCAAGAGACAATGTTTTCCCATGAAAACAGCCACTCAAGGCAGGGTTTTCATGCTGGCCTTCTGTAGTCTGTGAGAATGCCTTGAATGTGCGGAGAAGGTTTCACACAGTTTTATTGCATTAGTGGACATCAGAGGGATATGAAATTTAGAAACATATGGAAACAAGACTGACAGCTACTAGCTCTAGACATGAAAGACTGGAAAAGCACCTGCTGATGGCAGCACTGAGGGTAATGGAACATGAGATTGGACGGCTGGAGTTTAGAGGCAGACAGAGGACTCACAACATGGACACACACCAACCATACCTTCACTGGTTCCTTTGCCTTTCCTGTCAGGTAACTCTAACCCTGTGCCCCCCGAAGGATATAAGGAGACGTCCGTTGGCACTGGCCAACTGCTGGCTGTGTCTTCCGTGATCTCATACATCTGCCCTTCCATCGGCTGCAGGTGCCAGTTTAGGCCAAACAGGTGCATGGCTGTGGTGAGCAATGAGAAAAGTCATCTTTTTCTGTTTGTGAGAATTTCAGAACTACAGGGGCACTTTCTCTTTCTAAATCCTCGCTCACAATGCCTTATTAGTGGTCATTGCTTTAGGACAAGAATGGGATTAATGTAATTAGACAGCCCCTGCTGCTTCTACCATACCAGCTCCCTAGGTCTTTCCACCCACTTAAACTCGATTTAGATCACCTGTAACAATCCACTCTGCTTCTTCCACCAGAACCACTCCTGACTCATGGTCTGCATAACAGGATAACCAGGCACAGTGTTTCACAAAGCTCCCAAGGCTGGGGTGACAATGCGGTGAACACAGAAATACAAGGAAAATTATTTCTTAACATACCAATAAATCCTAGGGAAATGCACTCTGATTTGTTTTGCCATATTCACAAGTGTATTATATAGGTTCTCTTTTTTTTTTTTTTACTGATGAATTATACACAGAAGCCCTTACAGACATCTCTGACAGCTTTTCCTGCTTAAGACCAAGTAAAAACTGAGGCAATTCAATACCCATCTTGCACATATGTCTTTGTGCTCTGCATCACAAATGTGAGCAACTATGTCTGAGCATTCTTTCATACAACTCAGCCTCTTCTATTCAGATCAAAGACATGTCCTTGAGAACTGAAAACAAGCAACACTATTTAGATTTGTGTGATAGCAGGGCAAAGCTCTCTGTAGGTTTCGGGGCCATGCAAAGTCACCCAGGGCACATGTGAATCTATTTCAAGGCATTACACAAAGAGAAGTGAAGGAAAAAGCAAACACATATATGAAGAGTATGGAAATCATATGCTTATACAACTAATACTTGCCCTTTCCCAATATAAAGCAAAAGAATGTGGCTTGTGGCTTACCATATCAGTTCTTCCATCCCCAACATAAACATTTCATACTCAATCAGTATCCAGCTTAGCTTCAGGCTCTACACAGCTAAATGATCTGATATTTGCTACATTTGGAATGACATTTCTTTTTTAAGGGAAAGCCTTGATATTTTACAATATAATTTCTCAAAACAACTATACAATGGTTCTAAAATCACAGCCATTTAGTATAAACAAAAAAACCACCCCAAAACAGTAAAGAAACAGAGCATTTCCACGGCCTATAATGCTATTTTTATTCACAAACATATACCTGAGATTGGCAACCATTGTTAGGGACAAGTGGTTAGTATATTTAAACCTGTGAAACAGAAACAATCTTTACAAGAGGACTGTAAAGTAATCTGAGTAGCTCTCTGAAGACAGCATGTTTAGGCAATTTAGTGAAATATGGGATTTATTCCACTTCAGTCTCAATTAGGTCACCTATCATTTACTAACATAAACAAGGTTGTCTTTGCACAACTACAACATCACAAAACATGAGTGCAAAATTCTTTTTTTACCATGTAAATGGGGACTGTGTTTGTTAACAATTTTATCCATTAGGAATGAAAATACGCTCCTTAAACTCCCACACAGCAAGGACGCACAGCAAGGAAGGTCTCCTGAGGACCTGTTCAACACTTGTTTTTATACAGGCACGTATAGCAAGAAGGAATGTTACCAACACTACTGGTAATTTAACCAGGGTATTTTAGGAAGAGGGACAAGTATTTTCATCTAAAAGCGATATATTTACTCAGCAGAGAAACTGTGCAAGGGAAGAGACCAAATCAGACCATGAACAAGGAATCTGCATCAAGCATTTGGCATCTCTATGCTTGCATAATATCTTTGTGTTTATACAGCCCCCATCATCAGAGTGCCTGGGCACTTCATAGCTTTTAACCTCATAAAACCTCATCAGGTAGGAATCTGCTCTTTTCTAGTACATAGAAATAGAAAGGAGAACTACAGCAGATTAAAGAACTAACTCAATTCACTTGTTTGGGCATTAAAATGCAATTGTGTGTTAATTCACTTAACTTACTCTGTGCTTACAGGGTCACAAGCTCTAAGAGACATTTCAAGCAGCTCTCTGCCAGCAGTTTTGCTGTAAGCTCAGTACTGGATGCTATCTTACAATTCCATCCAGGCTGGACGTTTCCAAGGACCAGAGTGTTACCCAGGTGCCGCAGAGGTGTTACAAAGGTCAAAAGCTTAGATGCTCTGAGCACACAAGTTCCTATGTTTAACATGGGATGGTTGTAGTTACATGGGTGTTTGTAGTTCCAAGCAGAACGGAAACCGTACTCTTCACTTCTCCAAACTCAGGCAATCCTAGACAGCAGTCAGGCCTAAGTTCTGCTGGCCATAAGTGCTTAACACCAGCTCCATCTCTCAGACATCTCCACGTTAGAATGACCTGCATGAGCTTATAGTGGGAATTCCTGGTTTATGCAGGAACTGAGGCAGTGGTTTGCTTTCTTCGTAACATCATTTGATTTGCTCTGTCCCTTGGACATCACAGCCTAAGTGCCACACAGATTTTTAGAAACATATTGCAAGGCTGTTGTTTCCCCAAAAGGCCATTGCTGCTTCTCCTCTCCTTAGGCGGAATTTTTTGTTGTAGATAGTTATTTACTGCAAGCAAATGAAGGTGAAAACTCAACATTGTTTTGGGTGCAGTGGGAAAGCTATGAACATTACTTCCAGGCATTAATGTTTTGGGTGCAGTGGGAAACCTATGAATATTTCCTCCAGGCATTAAAATTAAAATACATGAGAGGAAATATCGTAACAAGTGATCATCTTGCTTCGGTGTAACGACAGAACTGACACTCTGGAAGATGCTACAGCTTTTCTGCACATTATCCATCCACTTGAGCAAGTGGATCAACCATTCTATGTCATCATTCAATTCTCAATGTTTCAAAAGTGTCTTACAATGTCCCAAAATAGAAAGTATGACATAATTATCTGTAACATACATACCGTGTTATCACACAAAGTTAAAAGACTTGTATTAATGTTAACTTTTGTCCTTTGCTAGTAGATTTTGTCTAAATCAAAAAGCTTCTTGCATACATTGATCTCATCATCACATAGATCACAGAATCACAGAATGGTTTGGGTTGGAAGGGACCTTAAAGACCATCTACTTTCAACCCCATGAAGATGTTCAGGAACACCTTCCACTAGACCAGGTTGCTCAAAGCCCCATTCAACCTGGCCTTGAACACTTCCAGGGATGGGGCATCCACAGCTTCTCTGGGCAACCTGTGGTAGTGCGTCATCAGCCTGATAATAAAAACTCATTATATCTAATCTAGATCTATTCTCTTTTATTTAACACCATTATGACCCTGTCCTGTCACTACAAACCTTAGTAAAACATCTCACTATATCTTTCTTAAAAGCCTCATTTTAAAGTATTTAAAGGCTGTAAGAAGGTCTCCAATGATAAGCCATGAGAATGACAACTATGCACACCATGCATACAAAAGTGCAGAATGCTGAAAACCAGAATTATTTGAATAGCATTTTGATTATCAAGTGGCTTAAAAAATTCAGAAAACAGTGTAAAATCTCAGAGCTACTGCTCTATTCAGGATTTCTGAGCTGATGTTTCTAAGCACAAAATAAAAGCCTATAAATATCCCCATTCATATGGCAAACAGACATCATGCAATTTCTGCTATAGGTAGGCAATAACCACAAAAGTCAACCTGAAACAAGAACAAAGAGTCTGATTTACTTTGGAAACACACTTTGTAGCAGGTACGTTATGAGGATGTCACCTGAATAAGTGATTTCATTACTATATTCTTAATACCAGCAGTGTCTGATTGGCAACCTGGTGGAAAATTCATTTCTCCTCTGGCTCTGCCACACTGGTGCTAAAAACTTAAGTAGTAATAGCAGTGGATATTTTGGGTCTTCACATCTCAATGGGATGTGTAAAGCTGTTGTTGCACACAGTTGTGTTTAAAGGTTTTAGGAATCAACCTTGATCCGTGCTAAATTGATGAAAAGTTCTTTCTCATAGAAAAAAAATGCAGCTAAGAACCATAATCATGGAAAAGCCCTGTAACCATGGATGAGAGGCATAATCATATATTTTGAAGTGTTAGTGTTCCTAAGAGGGAAGTAAAGCTGTAAACATAGTTTGAGATTCCTGATGTTCTTAAGTCTCTGGGTCAATGGAACCCACTGTGGACATTTTTTCTGGCTTTTTTTTTTCACCCCCCGCTCAGCTAGAAACAAGATGTTGCTGACAGAGAGTAAATGCCCTCTAAAAGCCCCCAAGTCCTTCTCCTTCTCCCTCTCCAACATGATGCTCAATAGATTTTCAGATATTGAAGGCTCCCCATGTATTAAAAGAGCACTCTGCAATTAACAATCATTAAAGCGTACACTTTTGTAAAATACCATGTAGCTTTCACTGCTAGGAAGCTCCATGACAGGCTCTTTGCAGATGCTTTGGTTATATTCCCCATGGAGAAGAAAACTCTTGTCTCCCTTCTCCTGGAATGAAAACAATATTTAGGGGAAACCCTGCATTCTCTCTGGGCTTTTTCACCACCACCAACTTAGACGAGATAAAGGCACCTGGGGCCTCTGGTCCATTGTGCTCATGTTTTGACTTTAAATCTTCGACTTCCACGACCTTTCCCCTGTAGCTAAGTGCTAGCAAAAGGTGTCCTAAAACTTGCTAAATGGGTAACAATTTTCTGTGGCAGACTAAATCACCTTATCATCAGTCCTAAGTCACCTGTGGCTGCCTTCTTGCGGGAAAAAAAATGGAGATTAAACTCCAGTCCCTTCAGGATTTGATTACTTTGCGGAGTTCAGCATTTCAACCACGCCAGTGTGATACAGCTGCTCTTTTGCTGGACTCATATTCACTTTAGCAAAGAAAATTTGCAAACAGTTTAGCATCACCTGAGTTATTTAATCATGCAAATAAAGTTCATATTGGTGGAACCAAGTATTCAGGATCATGATTCTTCTGATTTTAACGTATTATCTCTTCCTATATTGCATTATTCCTGCTCCATAGCTACTTGTGGACACCATAATCAGCATCAGCAGATGGTGTT